AAATCCGGAAAAATTTCCATGTCAGAAAGGCGCTATGATGCCGTGGCCTAGGTTTCTCACTGCGCGGAAATTCAAATCCTATTTTTTTTTCAACGCCGTTTTTCGAGGATTCAGGATTTTCTTTGAATTTTTTCGCAATAATATTAGGAAAATACATATTTTTTGAAACATTTTAAGGCAATAAAAATTTTTGGTCGGAGTCCCCCTTTAACTATTGTAAGATAATAAAAAATATTCGAAATGCCAAACATGGAATTACATCAATAAACTGGCCAAGTTTCAAATTGTTTGATCAACATTGAGCTGTGTTATCGTTTGTCATTGCTTCATCTTATGAAAAACCTAACGCCGTTCATCTCTAAAAAATCATAGCAATACCTACACTTAAGGAATCGGCTTGAAAATTTCAATAGCTTAAAATCAAACGTAAAATTATATCTCTACCAATTTTCGTGCTTCCAAGATACTTATGTTCAAAGATATACCCGTTCTTACCTGTAATTTTGCGCCATCCTGTTCAGTTTATTTATGAATTCTGAAACTTTCTGACCGAAGGGACAAATATTAAGTCCTCATCTATAGTTAGCCATTTTCCACTAGAAGGGTCCATCATCTGAAATTCCAAAAGTTCCACATTTCTAGACTCCCTCCACGACAAGTGCCCTTTAAAATTTACGAACTAAAAGTGCTTATTTCCATTGTTCTCAATATTTTCAGATTTCCCGAAATTGCGCGAATTGCTCAACAACCGAAACGAGTCTGTGGCGAAAGAATGAGGAGGGGGATCTGGAGTGCAAGTGAGTCTTTTTTGGCTTCTAAATTGGGGTCAGAGTACACAATGCAAAAGCAGAAAAAGCAGAAAATGGGTCCCAAAGGGAGTGATGATTGAAGTGAAGAGACCAACGCAAATGACTCTACTGACTTGTGACCAAAAAAAGAGAGAGAGCTTTGTTGCAGCACGTCAATTTTGGAATCGAATGAATAGAATTTCAAGTTAAGGCTTGATGAAAAGAAAGCGAATTAGATGTGGCTACCTGGTTCAGTGCTCGGACTCAAAATGCGTGGGTAGTTAAGTGGGGAGATGTTTCATTTTGGGGACACCATAAAACCTGTAATAGAAGAGCCCTCACACTGTCAATTTTGAGCCTGTTTATGTCGGTTTCTAGAAGAGATATCAAAAATGTGTCAACTAACAAAACACTTCTGATATTATGATAAACAATTTATCAGTTGACAACTTTTTGATATCTTTCACAGGATACGAAATAAATTGACACAAATTTAAATGTTAGGGGACTCTTCTAATACAGGGTTTACAGAATTTTTCAAAATTAGCTTTTTAATTAGAAATCTGAAATTTTAAGATTCCTGATTTTCAGAATTGGAAAGAAAGACTTCATTTAAAAAATATGGCAAGATTCGCAAAATCTTAGAATTCAAAAATATCAAATTTCCAAACAATTCATAAATTTCACAAAATTCAAAAAATCACTAAAAATTTCTTTTAAAAAATTCGAAAGTTTTACATTATAAATAAGGTTCCGTTTCAAATGTTTTTTTGAAACTTTTGAAGAGACGTTGACTATTCGTTTAAATTTCTCACGCAACAATCAAAAATTTTCAAGCCTCAAAATAATCAAAAGCGTCAAAATGTCAAAAGAGTCGTTTTCAAAATAATTATAAAATTCAAAAGGTCAAAAGAGTCATTTGCCAAAATATTCAAATTGAAGTTCGTTGACTTTAGTCAATTATGATTAAAATGCATCAAAAGGGTCGAAGATGATTTTTATGCGAATAGGTGGAAGTGTGAAACAACGAAGTGTGGTATAGTAGTGAGAAGCAGAGATGTCCTGCTTCCGGATTCTGGATTCCGGATTCCGTATTCCGGTTATTGGATTCTGGGTTCCGGATTCCGGATTCCGGATTCTGGATTCTGGGTTTCGTATTCCGGATTCCGTATTCCGTATTCCGTATTCCGGATTCCGGATTCCGGATTCCGGATTCTGGATTCTGGGTTTCGTATTCCGGATTCCGTATTCCGTATTCCGTATTCCGGATTCCGGATTCCGGATTCTGGATTCTGGATTCCGGATTCTGGATTCTGGATTCTGGATTCCGTATTCCGGTTACTGGATTCTGGGTTCCGGATTCCGGATTCCGGACTCTGGATTCTGGGTTCCGTATTCCGGATTCCGTATTCCGTATTCCGGATTCCGTATTCCGGATTTCGGATTCCGTATTCTGGATTCTGGATTCCGGATTCTGGACTTTCCGGAGAATAATAATAATATCGTTGTAATCAGCCTGTTTGAGGGTACTACTGATTATTTTTCGTAACTTTTGAAGTTATCCGACACTTCCGACTCTTCTTGAAGCATTTAACACTTTTGACGAAATATGATATCCACTATTTTTCATTTGCCACGTTCGACTATTTCGACGATTTACTTTTTTTCGATTTTGAAACGTTTGACTATTTTGATGATTATTTTCCGTGAGAAAAAATTATTTTTGAGCAATTTGATTAATCAAAATTGTCAAATTTCACGTGATTTCATAAATGAAAAATTTGAAACGGAACCTTATAATTTATAAACCCTTTCAAAAATTCGAAATGTGGAAATTTTTTAGAAGGGTTACTGTATTTTGAAGAGCCCCATTAATTTTTAATTTCAAGCCTATTTTTCACGGTTCCTGTTAAAGATATGAACAAGTTGTCAACTGATAAATCGTTTATCATAATATCAAAAACATTTTACCAGTTGACAGTATTTCAATATCTCTCATAGGAACCGAGATATTATTGTTGTCCGAAAAAATTGGAGTTGAGACGCAGACAGTTAATCGAAATATTTCTCTGCGTCTCCACCGACTATGCGCTATTTAGGCTTGTCGCTTCGAGGTGCCTACCGTATTCAGACTGCAAAAAATAATCTCTCGCTCCAATTTTTTCGCATAACAATAATAATTGAGCGCAAATGCACTGGTTTCTATTGGTCTTCTATTAGAGCATTTAGGGCCGCTCCAGGAACGGTAAAACCTGTAATAGAAGGGCCCTTAAACTGCCAACTTTGATCTAATTTATCTTGGCTCCTGTCAAAGATATGAAATACTTGTCAACTGATAAATTTTTCATGATTATATCACAAAAATTTTATCAGTTGACACATTTTTGATACCTTGCTTTTTTGATACCTATAGGAATTGAGATAATTGACCTCAAATTGAAATGACTTCTATTGGGATCCTATAAGAGAATACATATAGTGATGGTCCAGGAAAACATATTTTTTCATTGCCTGTAACTTGTACTTCCGTCTGAACAAAGTCAAAAGACCCCTGGAACTCTGCAACACAGCGCCGAAAACACGAAAACGTCGTAGTCGAAAAGCAAAGAAGAATCTCGAAGAAGAAGATTAACTTTGACGAACTCTCATTTTTTGTCATACTTCTTTTTTTCTTACTTTCTGTAGCTTCTTCTTTTTCTCGTTCTATTCAAGTACAATCAATCATTTTGCTCTGTTTTCTTTTTTTTTCTTTCTCTGTCTGTCTTTTTGGATTATCTGCCCATTTTCAACTCCTTCCCTTTTTCAGCTTACTCAATTTTAACCCCATTGTAATCCTTTGTATCCCGTCCATACAAGTGAAAAAAAATAGGCCACGCCCACTTTCCAGCAAACTTTGGGTTCTTCTTCTTTTTCTTTTTTTTTTNGTATTCCTGACCTTTTCAACTTTATAACTTTCTAGTTGAGCAAATAAATTGAGCACCAGAATTTTTTTTGAATTTCTAATCATTGGGCACCTAGATGAAATTTGGTCTAACCTAGAAGCCCCAAGCGAACACATCAATAACCAATGTGTGAAATTTGAGATTTCAGTTGACGTATTCTTTCATCCAGTCATCGTCCTGAGGTCCCTTTATATAACCTGGCACCCATCACTCACGTGGTTCTTTTTCTGTTGAAACGTTTGGTCAGAATTTTTCTCCGCGGGCTTCTCTTTTTTTTCCGTCAAAGAGTTTTTAGAAAAAGTGTAATAATAACTGGTTCCTGGGAAGAAGAGAGAATGAAAAATAGGGTCAATCGTTTTGAATGAGTATACGTTTTCGTGGTTTTGAGGTTTTGAGGTGAGACTAAAGATTCCTTCGAGTTCAAAGAATTTCGAGGTTCTGAGGCTAAGTTTAGAAATGCTGAGGTTACAATAACCTGAAGGAAACATCATCGTCTATTCCGGAGTTCTTCAAAATTCCAAATTGTTTTGTAATAGAATCCTAGAGAATTTTTTTCGAACCTCATAAAATCTGATGTTCTAGAAATATCAAAATTACATTTTTTTTTAAATTTCAAAATTCGTGAAATTCAGAGTCTCAGAATCTCAGAATCTCAGAATCTCAAAATCTCAGAATCTCAGAATCTCGGAATTTCGGAATCTCAGAACCTTAGAATCTCAGAATCTCAGAATCTCAGAATCTCAAAATTTAGAAATATCGGAATGGCAGAATCTCAGAATTTCAGAATCTCGGAATCTCAGAATTCCAGAATCTCCGAATCTCCGAATCTCAGAATCTCCGAATCTCAGAAAATCTCAGAGTCTCATATTTTTTTCAAAATCTGGGCTATAGTGACTAAAAACAAATCACCTAACGACCCAAAACCTTTTGTAGCATACCAAATTCAATTTTACTTGTATACGAATTTGCAAGCTTGCGGTTTTTAAAATTTCAAAACTCAATTTTTCCAAAATTTTCCCAAATTTTTTTCCTGATTTTCTTCTCCTACCGCACTTTAATGCTTCAGATCCAATAACCAGTTGTCTGGAACATTTTCTAGGGACCAACAAGAGTTATAGACACCAAAAAACACCGGTGGTGCAAAATAAAAATTGAACACCACCCACTCTGAAAA